AATTTGTTTTACTGGCTCCCTAGTTTTTTGATGTTGCTGTAATGCCTAACCAGAAATAAAAATCTCAAAACTAAATAAAAAAATTGTTGGTAAGTATAAATTTTATTTTTTAAAGTTTAGATAATAATAATGACAATAAAGGCAAAGGTTATAGTTATAAAGAAGATGAAGATAATGATAATGATAAAGAAGGTAGTAATAGGGAGGTAAAGATAATAGTAGTGAATAAAAAGAGAGGTAAAGTTAATGGTGATGATAAATAAGGCAAAGGTAATAGTGATAAAAAAGAAGGTAAAAGTAATAGTGGTGATAAAGAAAGCATGGGTAATGGTAGTAATAAAGGAGGAGGTATAGGTAATAGTGGTAAAAAAAAAGTGAAGGTAATGATGGTAATAAAAGAGGCAAAGGTAATAGTAATAATAAAGGAGGTAAAGGTAATAGTGGTAAAAAAGGAGGCAAAGGTAATGGTAGTAATAAAGGAAGCATAGGTAATGTTGGCATAAAGAAGATATAGGTAATGTTGGTGATAAAGGAGATATAGGTAATAGTGATGATAAAAGAAGTAAAGATAATAGTAGTGATAAAGGAGATAAAAATAATAGTGGTAAAAAAGGAGATAAATGTAATAGTAGTAAAAAAGAAGACAAAGGTAATAGTGGTGGTGAAATAGAATGAATTATAAATTACCTTTTACATTTTAGATTTAACTCTGCTTCTATTTATTCTGCCAAATCATCCACTATATATTCCTAGTATATTTTATAATTTATTAATTAGAATTATTATATTTTATTATCTATTATTTATAACTAACTTACTGATTCATTTATTTGTTGTTTTATATTTTCATCAATAGTATCTATTTCAAATCAAAAAAATATATCAGTTGATTTACAAATTGATTATTTATATAAAGGTACCTTGATAATTGATTCCTGATATATTTCATGATTTTTTAGAATTTGAGTATGTTGAAACAATGGGATTGGGTTGTATAATTACCTGATTTTTAACAATTTTTTGAATTTTATTAGGAGAAAATTTGAATACCTCTCCAAATCTTAGTAAAGATCGTGCATAGATATATTCTTCTTCATCATCATCATATGTCTAAATGAATTTATTCCAATTTCAAATTCTTGTAATTGTTCCTATTTTTTGTTTTTGTTTCTCTTAAATTACAAAAAATTTATTTTATTATTAAAATTATAATAATACAAATTTATAAATATATTTATTATCTTATTCTCAATTAGGTTGAAGGTTTGCTACATATGTATCAGATAAGTCTTTGATTGCTATCTCAATATCTTCACCAGAAAAAATCTCATAGCCAAGTTTAACATATCAGTTGATTGCATATGAAATCTCAACAGAAAATTTTTGATTATATTATAATATAAGCTAAAAAAGGTAAAACAAATTGCTTACTTAGGCATGATGTGAATCTATAGCAGTTTTTACCTCACCAGCTTCTAGAAAAATTCACTTTTTAATGCAAATATTATACTATTCTTTTCAATATGTTAGAATTATCATTAGCTCTATATTATAATAATGTCTATCATTATCAGAAATAATGGTTACAAATTTTGATTTTCTATTAAGTGTTTCAATTGCTTTATATAAAGAGAATGCTATAAACTAAACATCTTACTTGGTGTTTTCACTTCAGTAATCAAAGGCATTAACATTGAGATTGTTGGTATTTTGATCTTTAATATACAATAAAATGGAATGTAAAATTCATCCACATTTACCAAACCATTCATCTTTTATTTTTCTTGCTTTTTTAGGATTAATACACATTTTATAATCCACAATGATCAAAGTCTCATTAAAATTGAATTAAGAAAGAATGGCAGGTAATTATGCATTTAGATATATTTTACGAACATGATGTGACATAAATACAATCAATTTTTTCTGATATTCATCAAGATTTCCATGCAGATTCAATGGTAAATGATCTTTCAAATTTTTGAAAAAAATGAAGAGATTTTCACAATCCATGCAAATATTGAAATGTGTTTTTTGACAATTACCAAAAACATATAGAAGGCAATGAGATATACAAGAATTATGTATTGCAATTCCATCTTTTGTTACATTCAATTTTTTGGGATAATCTTTTCTAAGATAACATTGTAAATTTTATACAATAATAACTAATTCATTCTGTTATAAAAAAAAACCTGGAGTAAGAATAATTTTGAATAAAATTATCAAGATTTTACCTACCTGAAGTATCAGATTTATAATATTGATATTTATTAGTTCTTCAATATTTGCAAATACTTAATATCCATATTCATTGTATTCTGAATAAAGTCCACTTAGATTTTCTTTATATATAAAGCATTTGCCATCTAATCTCATCATAAAAGAAGTTTTCTGCATTTTATTATGATATTATTTATGAAAATCGATTCTATAAAGCTTTTTTATAATCTTGTAAGTAAAGTACAGATAATCCACTTGCATTATCAGTTTTATAAAAATTCATATTGATATATTCTTTTGTAAAAAAAAATAATTCAAATTGTTGCAACTATTCAGTTGTAAATTTTACTTAGCAAAAATTTAGTTTATCCAGTAGTGGTACTCTATAACTATTTGTTCTTACATATTTACATATTTTAAGATAGTATATTGTTCAACCTTTATAAAAGAATTATTGAATAATTTTGATAAATTATTTTGATTTGTACTAATGTATTACAATTACTTACGTCTAAATTTTCTTGCAATTCTTTATAAGTAAAGTCATCTGCAATAATAAATAATATATGGTGTTTTCTATTACAATTCTTTTTGTTATTCTCTAATGCATGATTGAAGCATTACCAAAATATCAGAGTTGAATTTTTAATGGGTTTTAGAATTTCTTTGAACAAGAAGTTTTATCTGATATAATTGGGTAAGTAACGTATGATCTTGTTTTGAATAGTTAGATTTTGACCAAAATCGATACTAAAATAAAATATTATAATTAGTTATTTTTGTAGAATTTTAAAAAGATAATTTATGTTAGAAATCTTTCTCAATAATACCTTTTCTTTACGTAATTAAGGAGTTACATTATTAGCACTAATAGCATGAAAAAAAGTTTGCTATGTACCCATTTTCCATATATTGAATTGATAATTTTCAGGATATATATTATATAATTCATTATTTAGTTCAATTAGAAGACTTTCTTATTCATTTTATTTTATAAATAACTGATACTAATTAATTTTTACAATACAGTCAACTCTTGATATAGCAAACTCTTAATATAACGAATTTTTTGAACAAATATAATAAAAATACTCATGTTATAGCGAATTGGCCAATCAAATCTCTTAAAATCTTCACTATAACCTTATAGCGAAGTTGAGGTCTAGGACATAGAGTTCGTTATAACAAGAGTTGACTGTAGTTCTTCATTTTAAATAAAAATCAAAAAATACTTTCATAAGAGTATTATCTTTTCATTTTTGAAGCAGTCTTTTTTAATTTTTATTTAGAGTTTTTATTATTATCAATACCAAAAGTTGATTTCCATTATATTTTTTTATTGTTTCTAAATTTTTCCAAAATATTAATTGGATTTTACTTATATATGCAATTTGGAGTTTTTGATCTTAATAAACTTCTACAGTACATAAAGTTTTTTGATTTTAGAAACAAATAGTATTTATTTATTACTAAAATTACAAAAGAGCAAAGATCTATATTCTAGTCTAGTATAATACCAATCCATATGTATTAAATATCCCATTTCATATATAAATATTTTTATTTTATCAAGTAAAAAAAAGCAAGGAGTAAAAGGAACATCCCCACTTAATTTATTTCTTATATTTTCATCATTTTATTCTATTATTAATGAACTAGAATAGTGAGTTTTTATTGCAAAAATCTTAAAATAAACTTCAGAGATTGCATTAGTTAGATCGTTTGCAACTTTTATGATATCATTACACTGATACACATAATCTGGTAAAACATTATAATTGTCTTTATTGCTAACAATCACTGTAATAGTAAATTCTAAATTGTTGAGCATTACTTTAGTTATTTGTTTTACTCAAATAGGAAAATAAGTTATAATTTTTTTAGAATTTGATATAGATTTTCACTAATAATGAGAATATGGGCCATAATGATAGTTTTCAATAAATACATCTGGTGAAATAAGATTAACATTTATTTGACATTATTTTATCATTATATTATAGGCAGAAATTTAGTACGAACGCAAAATGTAAAAATAGTTTTTTTAATTATTGTTATTATTTCTGAATTTTATTATAAAATGATCAATTCTATCTTCTAACCCTTCTTCCCACTCATTTAGCTCCCCTCCTATTTCTTCAATGGAACGGATGGGATCCCATTGGTCAAATTTTTGATGCAGTAGTGGCCTCGCCCTTCTCACTCTTTTATTTATACTTACTCGAAAAATGATTTTTTTAGCCTAGGTTACAAATTGATTTTGGGGAAGTGCAGGGTCGGTCTTCTATAGTATTAGTCTTAGATTAGTTCTTTAC